TCGCCAACGCTTGACTTACCACGAGGGCCCCCGACGCGCAAATCCGTGGTGCCCCACGCCGAGGACCCCCGCTAGAGACAACCGTTCACCGCAACCGCCACGCGCAGACGAGAGTCTGTCAACTCTCGCCCGCCACCAAGGCTCACTTCCGCCAAGAGTCACTGCCGGCGCTACCCCATGATGATGATGACGATAGTGGTGCTCAACGCGAATACAACGCCACCTATCGCCTTGCGGTCGTCACCCGAAATGCGGCTTTGGGGCGAGACATATGCGCTACACGGCGCAAACAACTTTACAGGAGGTGTCAGCACCCCCACAAGCGTGACTGTACTCTGGCGAGGGAGCTTGTTCACTCTCATTCAGCCAGAGTACCAGCACTCTGTCGAGAGAGTGTACTTACTCTGTGCAGAAGAGAGTTCCCCGCACTTCTGAAAAGAGAGTGAAATATGGGACAAGCCTCTACTTCCGCAAAGAGAGTTGCCAGCACTCTCTTGGGGCTGTGAGTGTAGAAAACCGGCACTTCCTTCATTATGAAATGTTTTGTACATGGGGTGAAGAGGGATGGTCTCCAGTTGCCCAGAATATGTGTTTTCAACAAATTTATGGTGCCTCTTTTGCGCGTACGACCCAGGCAGACGTTTCCGGCAATGACCCATCTGAGATCGAGCCTGCGTGTAAGGAGCGTCGAGTGGTCCGTTTATGGTCTGGGGAACTTTGTGAACTCTAAGAACGTCTCGACTAAGGAGAAGCAGCATTCTTGCCTCTTCGAGAAGTGGAATGTGAGCTGCAATGTCTCTCAAGTGCGGGTAGTTCTGTCACACTTCTGGTGTTGAAATTCCTTCCCTGTTGTCCGGAATCTCGTCGCACTCAAAAAGATACGGAACGGAGAGTTCGACATTGCCCGATACGCTCTACACAGGGAAGCCGGGAGCGATCCTACCAACAACCTCAGCACTGCCGGAACAAGTGCGTAATGTGTATTGGGTAGGTGTTCCCTCCACACTGAACTCGTCGAGAAGTTTTGGCCAAACCAATGAACGATTACTCTCTGTTCATCATGTATCACGTGTGCTCTGAATGTTGTTTCAGGCTGAGATTGATGAATCACATTCACGAGGCAGATTTTAGAGCATCTTTTGCAGCTGTCATTCATGTCTCCTACCTCGGTACGCGTAAATGTGACTCTTCCTTCTCAATTCTAAACACAGCTGCCATCGCATTCAATAGTCTTCGGCGACTCTGAGCACGTAGTTGATGGGTGAAGCGCTGTTGCATGATCACCGCTGCTGGCACTTCACAACCACCTTGCATTGACACTGCGTGTGGTTTGAGGATAAAAAACATCGTAGGTATATTCCGTGCGCTTTGAGGAATGTTATTTGCTCTTCAATTGTTTTTCACAAAAAACGCGACAACTTGCGAGAGGATGAGGCTTCTTGTGATGCGGGCACTATTTCTCGAAGCTCTTCGATTCAAGTTACTGCTTTCGAGTGGTTTCGTGAACCTGCTCGAAGGCGTTACCTGCGTTTGTTTTTCTTGCTGACAGAGATGACTTTTGCAGCGGGTTCTTAATTGACATTTAATCTTTTCGCTGCGTGATCGAAGGCGAGAAATTTTGCGGTTGCAGGATGAAACTGGGATCATTCCTCGTGCTTGCCTTATCTTGAAGAAACTTTGAAAAAAAAACCGCAAAGGGTGGGAACGTAGTGTTCTTTTGTTGTTTGTGTTTAGACCTTACTGACATCCAATTTTCTTCAAGTCCAGGTGGTTACTTCGAAAAAATTTTGTTTATTCCTCTTGCAGTATCCATATAGCTAAGACCAGTGCGGTAAGAATCAGATTTGGTAGCTTTGAGTTCCAGTGGGAGGTCACCGAACTCATGCAATTTGGCATTATCCCGGTACGGTATTCTTGCGAATCCCTACAACTTCTTTATCGGCGCATCCTCAATTTCCTCGGGAAGCTCAAAGGTGTCGTCAAGTTTTGTCTACACGATGTTTAAGCGCTTCGAAAAATCAACAACATGCACAGAACTTGATATGATGATTCGGGACCAAGCCTTTCGACAAGAAGGACTAGCTCTTCTGCGCAGAAAGGTCTACATCTCTCAGGTCGATCATCAAACTTCGCAAGTCTTGTAGAGACAGTCCTTGAGGCACAGAAATTCAAGGACGCCGGCAAACTCCGAACTGAAACTGTTAGGTGCAGGCGTGTACGCAGGCGGCTGATGATAATCACGCAAGTCCGTGCGGTGGTTCGTTGCTTCAGCATGTTCAAAGCTGCGGCTTCTCGGATGCACAACAGTCAACCGAAGAGACGCAAGCTCAGTATCGCGTATGGCGGCTTGTTCAGTGATGTACCTCGATACCTGTAATGCTTGGTCTATCGGTGAGTGCAGGCGCACACGCTCCCCGCCCCCCTGTTCTATAGCTGCCTCGAGTGCACTTGCCTGCGCGTGTGCAGCAGCTGCCTGTTTCTCATGTTGGAAGACTTGAAGCTCAATTCTTGCCTTCTCTGAGCGCATCGCGGCCTCTCTACAACCAAACTGAGCTCTTTCTTTCATGGTCTCTGCTTGCGTACGGGCGTGCACAGCGGCTAGGCTAATCGCGGAGGAGCCCGATCTTTGTAATCGTGAGGAAGCTGTTGAGTGAGCCGATAGGGAGAACTGCAACGCTGTTTCATGCGCCTTGTCGCGTTTTTGTGGCGTAGCCTCTCGTAACTATTCGCTGGCGATCGCCTCACGGTCTTCATCGACTGCCTTTCGGAGCTGTAATTCTAGCCTAGCTTTAGAAGTCTTTGCCTTCTCGAGAAAGGCTGAATACCTTGCGGTGGTATGCTCGTAGCACTTATAACTTGCTTGAAGCTGCGTTTTGGCACCAGTAAACTGTCCTTCCTTAGCGCGTGACAGTGCCTGAAGAGCGCTCTCCACGTTCTTCCAAACAGCGTCTAGTTTACAGCAGTGCTCTTCGTGGCTCGTTTGATATTTTTTTTTTAGTCCTCGTCGAAAGTGTTGCTTTTCTTTGCGGCCCACTGTTTGATGTGGAAGCGTTATCCTGTGATGTGACATGTAGACACTCATGCATCAGCTCGCACTGATCCATTCTTGCTTGCTTCGCGTTTTGTCTCGCAGCGGATGTATGTGAAACAAATGGTGCTAAGCGACGCGTTGAAAGATGAAACGATCCCACCTTCTGCTGTCAGCTGTTCAACTCCTTGGCGATAAATTTTTGCAGTGGGTGTGTGTCTGGGCTCAACTGGGGGTCTTGCCGTGGCGAAGCATCCCATTGCCAGTGGACATTGAGATTGCGGCTGATGGCAGTTGAAGCGCTTTTTTACATGGTCTTGCAGCTCGAATTTGACGGGTCAAGGCGTCCGCTATCCAGCCAGTTAACGGTCGAACACTTGTGAGCATTTAAACAAAAGCACGTGGACCGTTAATCACGGGTGCACTAGGTTGACCTTACCCTGTCTTGGCATCGAATAATAAACATTCATCATAAATCATGGCTACCGAGTTCAATCCCATCCACTCAACACTATTTGGCTGGCTTAACTGGCCGTTAACTGGCTCGAAGCGTCCGCTATCCATCCAGTTCACGGTCGAACACTTGTGAACATTTAAGCAAAAGCAACTTCAATTGACAAGAATTGGGGTTACATCTTATCAAACATTCACTAGCACTCAGGAAGTTCCCGTAAAAAAGCGGTGCTGCTGCTCCGGCTGGTAGGGGAAGTCTGACCGCCGCCTGGCATTTTTCCCCGCTGACGGCCAGCGCTTTCGCTCTCTCCGGGAACCAACATAAAAGATGGCAAATGACGCTCTGAAGGTCGTCTGCGGTGCCCGTTTAAAGTGGTCATAACAAAGAAAGAAGCGGTATTGAAGATTTGGACAGAGTCCCCAGTAGGGGCTTAGGTGTCCCCCCCCCCCTCCCACTTCTGTTGGCGGTACTTCAAAAACAAACGTGGCTCATGGCTCCTCTCTTAGAGAGGGGACAGAACAATCCTGCTTTTTCATGTTTTCTTCTTATTTTGTGGGCTTGCTGCTTCTGTAAAAATTATTATGTACACTGAGGGAACATTAAACTAAATTAAAGCTGAATTGTTTTCCTCTGTGTGCATTATGAAAAGCTGTGCATGCTCCAGACACCGAGGTAGCTGCTCCATGAGCAAATTTTGCTGCTCCAATAGTTGCTTCAAAATGCTGTAAATCTAAAATGCATTCCCACTCCTGCAAGAGCAAAGACGGAGTAGGGTGCGAGCTGTGAGAAGTTCTTTATATTGAGGAAATGGGCGAACTGCGTAAGTGACATTTGGGTGCTTTGTATAACGCAGAAAGTAATTTTCTTAACAGCTTTTGTTGACACTAGGTTACCTTGACATGTGTTTACTAACTCTCAGTCCCCCCTGACCCCCCTCCCCCCATCTTATTTTGATTTATTTGGGACGTGTGAAAAAAATGCATATATATGGAGCGACCAAATTAATGTATAATTTTGCGCTTTTTCCAATTAACCAGCAATTTTACTGTGTTAGAGTGTGCCCCATCATCTGTACCCCAAAACAAATTGAAAGATGTTTCGTATTTGTTCTTGCGAACTGTCCGGCTGCCAAAGCTGCAGATGATCAAACAGAGTTATGGGGTCAAGCGCTTGTTCTGCATGCATTTAGTCCTCAGCACGTGGACCATCAATTACGTGTGCATTAGGTTGACCTTTCCCGGCCTTGGCATAGAGTAATAAAAATTCACCATAAATCGAGGCTACCGAGTTCAATCCAGTCGACTCAAACCCGAATATGAGAAAACCTTAGGAACATTTATAAATAACTAAGCAGCCTTGCGGCTGGTTGGTATATTTCTTGCCGAACAGCTAAAAATTGAAGAGGGTCAATGCAAGGAGCATCCCTCGTCAGTCATGTTTTCAGTTCTGCCATGAAGGCAGTTTTTAAGCTCTTTGTGGTTCAAGGCGCACATGGCTAATCGTGAACACACTTTGCAGATGGCGGATTTCTTGGAGCAGGAGTTTCTCGCCGAGCAAGTACGATCCATCGATCAGCTGCAGCGGCTCATCACGCAGCTGCAAAATATGGAGACAGGCCTGGGCGAGTTCCTTCTCGACCAGCAACTGCGAGCCTAACAGCTCCTCTTTGAAAAAAATTGTCCTTTTTTCTTCAGCGCTCATGTACTGGTCACGTAAATATCCGTGTTGAAATATCCCCAGGTCGAGACGTGTAATAAAATAGTTCTCATTACCTTCTTACTCTTTGTTGTAGCGCGGCTACGGTGTGAGCGCGGCAAAAGACAACACATAGCGCCAAGTGTGCGCGTTCTAATTCGGCGCGCTACAAAGAAGTCAACAAGCCCGACCCTTCACTTGGTAAAAGTCGGTTGACAAATCACATGCATAAATTGCTGCTAAGCCTCCCCTTGTGACCTGTACGCCACAAAGTATTGAAGAAAAAAAAACAATCTTCTATGGTTACGCGATACTTCCACATGGTTATTATGAATGCAGCGTCGTGTTGCACCAATGCGAACTGCATTCCAAGTTCTCGCTTTCCGGAAAGTATCGACTATGCCAGAATTCATAATTTTTGTAAACACGACAGCACCCACTACACCACTATTGCTCTTTTTGCGTGTAAGTGAGGTACCCGATATACATTTCTAAGGCATTATGTGTACATTGTTGATGCTGCAAGTGGCAGATGACGATTAACACTTGTGGCTGAGTACTTTGCATGGATATGAAGCATTACACCACACACTCTTTCTGCAATTAGCGTTGCGTGATTACGGGTTATCGTATATTTTACTCTTCTGCCACGGTGTATTAGACGGGTTAATTTCATGCAAGACATGACGCCGCTATACTGTCTTTTTTTGCAAATTATCTTCGAGCCTCAGTGCCTTGTGGTGGAACACTACAGGTTTTCCCGATCAATTTATTCTAAGCGCCAACCAAGTTAACCTAGATTCAAGTCAATTTATCCCATCTACCACTGGATTAAATGCCAGTCATCTCAATTCAAGTGCCACTGAAATTAATCCAAGTGTCAACCAATTTATTCAAGTTGATCGCCAGCGAATTTAATCCTGACTACTTCGACTTTCAAAGCGGCCCAGAATTTTCAGATATGCATAGAGTGAGTATTTTTGGAGTGAATTTAAAGGTGAACTTATCAGGATGTGTAGCTCATTCTTATAACACTCAGCTCGCTATATTAATGCACGCTTTACATTCCAACCTGGATCTCTTCTTCGACTTGAAAAAAGCTTTCGATAAAGTATTGCACATTCTTATCATGCAAAGTTTCGAGCCTAAACCTACACCCCTGCGTTTCTCATATTCATATTGTGGTTTCGGGACGTTAAATCTCACATATCAATAAACCTGCAACAAAACACAGTTAATCGAATTCTTTATTTTTCACCTTCAATTTGTTTCCGCCAGCTCATTTGTCTCCTTTCTATCCCTCTGGTGGGCCGCAAGGCTTGGACTAATAATGTTTGTTTCTCATATATATATATATATATATATATATATATATATATATATATATATATATATATATATATATATATATATATGTATGTATGTATATGACCCTAATGTATCACCCAATAGACGCTGCCTTGCGGATGACTTTGTGCTGTATTGTCAAATTACACCCTCCATAGACTCCTCCAGGATGATCTCCTAGAAATCCCGACATGGTACAACCAATGGTGCATGTCCCTCAACATGATAAGTAAGTGCTCCCACGTATTCTTTCATGGCCACCTTAACTACGTAGCGTCTTCTTACTCGTTCTACTACAGCACTTTAACTCAATGCCGGATTTAAAATACCTAGGAGTTCATATATCTAGCTATCTGTCCTGGACCAATCACATACACCAACTAACCTATTCCTGTAATCGCATATTAGGTGACCTACGCCGTAACTTACCATGAGCATCATCCCCTACAATCAAATTATTTGCATATACAACGTAGATACAATCGAAACTAGAATATGCTACTACTATCTATGGCAACCACTAAAGGCTGGTGCACACCGGCGACTAGCAGCGGTCGCGCGACCATTTGCAACTGGTCGCTAATAGTCGCGAACGGTCCCAATGGTCGCAAAGCGACTGCTTTGGCTAGTCGCTTCCTGACCGTCTTTTCCGTCACGCGACTGTGGTCGCAAAACTGCTGGAAACAGTGATGCTCAATTTTCATTGTTTGTTTGTTTTATTGCGCTGGCGACAACGGATAAAAACAAGAAATGGGGCGCGCTCGGTTTGCTCCGCTCACTCAGCTGGCGGCGGTCAGCTGAGTGGCGCCGGTCTCCAGAGTTTTCGCTGATAACGAGATACGGACGCGACTCTCTGGTATTGTGACTTCCGGTCGCTCACATGCAGCCTCTGCCGGTGTGAACATCAGTCGATTTTTGGTCACCAGTCGCAAATGGTCGCGCGACCGCTGCTAGTCGCCGGTGTGCACCAGCCTAAGTAATTCCCTTGAATCGGTCCAGAATCATGCTTCCAGGTTCATTCTTTCTGGCATATCCACCCTATAATCCCATCTATGCCTCTCTTCACTTTCTTATCGCCGCAAGACTGCTCGTCTAATCATTTTTCTTAGGTTTTTTTCCATTCGCTGCCTCCAGGAAACCAAATCGTCATTTCAGCACATCATTCCTCTAGCCACTCGTATCGAAATGCTGAGTATAAGCCACGTGCCCACACGACCAACTATCAACCTGCATTTTTTCTGCATACTACCACAGAATGAAATGCTCTTCCTTCACATATTGCCCTCATCACTGACATTACTCAACCCAAGGCTGCCGTTGAAGACCATCGTTCAAGTCGTTAAATTTAACCCGACCTGCCAGTTTTCTTTTCACCCACTCCTCCTGTATTGATGGGGCCTTTGAAATACCATGAATAAATGAATGAGTAAAAAAATGAGTCAATCACTATAGTGACACCATCGCTGCAAAAATCCACGTTGTGATCATTGGTAACTAAATGTGACCAACTCAGTAGCTATGTGGGTACTGTTGCAAGCACCAATGGAGTTATTCGTGATCACTCTAGTGACAAATGAGCAGGTGATTGGTAGCCACCGACGCGGATTCAAGTCACTTTCGATCTACATACGCACTTTTCTCAACTGCATACATTCAGGTGGTCGAAATTTCCGGAGCCCTCCACTACGGCGTCTCTCATAATCATATAGTGGTTTGGGGACATTAAACCCAACATATCAATCAATCGAATCACTTGCATACACTGAAATATAGAATGAAGCGCCTTTCAACCGGTGATACGCCACTCACTATCACTCATTGAAGTGAAGCGATCACTATAGTAACTTACGTGACATCGTCACGCCTATAACCTGTCTACGCTATACCCACACCTGCCGAAATGCATATAAAATGAAGCATCTTTTACAGTGCAATAACCGGACACCTATGAATCAGCCTAGTGACTTAATCACTAGTGACTCTTCCGAGGTCATCACTCATATCACTTACGCACGTAATGCACTAGCCTGCCGACATGAATATCTAAGGAAACATCTTTGAAAGAGCAGTAACGTTATACCTATCACTCGGTCAAGCGACTTGCTTACTAGTGACTCCCGTGATGCCATCACGCCTATCACCCTTGTTCGCACTACCCATACCTGCTGACATGCATATCAAACGAAATATCATTTAACGAGTAATAACCTGACTCATATAACTTAGCCTAGAGACTTGATCGCTAGTGACTCTTCTGACGTCATCACTCATATCGTCCACGCAAGTAATGTACTAGCCTGCAGACATGCATATCTAACGAAACGTCTTTGAAAGAGCAATAACATGATCTTATCACTAGGTCAAGCGACTTGTTTACTAAAGTGACTCGCGAGACGTCATTACGCCTATCACGCACGCACGCACTGTCTTAACCTGCCAACATGCATATTAAACAAAATGTCTTTAAAAGCGTATTAACGTCATACTTGTCACTTGGCCTAATAGCTTGATCACTACTTATTCACGTGACGTCATCCCGCTAATCACCCACACACTTTCCTAACCTGCAAATTGTATATCAAACGAAACGTCTTTGAAAGGGTATTAACATGATACCGATCACTCTGCCTAATGGGGTCATCACTAGTGACTCATGTGACGTCATCACGCCTATCACCCACGCAGGCACTCTCCTAACATGCCGGCATCCATATATACTGCTATGTGTGAGGAGAGAGGATCGACGAGGCTGTGTACGAAATATATTACAATCAGCAGTTGCGGTGTCACCAGGCCCCGAAAACTCTCAAGGGCAAGTGATCGCCTGTTTGGGCAAAACAATCAACCGCGGCGCGCTCCGACTTCGAACACCCGGAGTGGATCTACTAACCTCTGCGTTATGCATCAATTGGGCGCCGCCATTCACGCTACTGCACTATCTTATAGGGCCTCATCGGTGCTAAATTTCAATTCTAAAATGATCTATTACTACATCTTTGAGTAGCGATACACATAAAAAATAATTTGTTTTCGTACCAAGTAACTTTTCTAAACATGTGCTGCGGCATCATTCTTTTGTTACAGTTTTAACGCCAGCTGACTCGTAGTCAGCAGCAGCCTATCGACCTCATTATCTTCATTCAACAATCAAGCAGCCATTTAGTAATCTTGATATACATCAGTATTCCCCTTTTCCGCATGCTATATCACAATGGAATGAATTACCTGAAGAAGTAGTATACGCTAACACAGCTGAATCATTTCTTACATTTCTAAATAACCGTTGTTGGATATGTAACGACCTGTTTATGCTGAACATATTTGCTGCAGTTGCTTCTCGCGTTCACTTTTTTATGCATAGTGCTGATCTCATGTGTTGAAAAATTGTACGCGCATATTTTATCCGTTATAATGTTGTGTGTTTGTTATTGCGAAGCATATTTATTTGTTCATTTTCTTAAGCTTGTTAATTGTGGTTTATTACCTAAGTTGTCGATAGTTCTCAGCTTTATTGTTGGTATTGTTTTTAATTATATTCTCACTCCTCCTTGGGCCCGAGTATGGCCCGAAGTATTTGTAAATAAATAAAATAAAAATACAAATTTCAAATCATATGGCGGCCAACGGTAGCGCAGGCAGGTAATGGCTTGAGGTGCATCTGGATCGGTCTCGCGCTGCTTCGTTTTGCTGTAAATATTTAGAGCCACTGCTGGCCGACACACTCTCTTTCGTT